ATTTCAACAAATTAAGTATTTACTTCATTATTCTACCAACTTTACCTTAATTTGATCGGATTTTTTTAGTATAACCAATAATAAAACAATAGACATGAAAAGGTCCACAGGTTAGAAGATAACCTATACATTTCAAGAAAATCGTGCATTATAAAAGGTCAGAATCATGTCATCAGTGATCTCCATTTCGCGTCTTCGTTGAGAAATTATAATAAAAGGTGAGTATATGTAATTGCGTTTGATAATAGTGATTGATTTTAGAAGAAATTTAGAGATGGGACTTTATAGTTAATGGATAATTGATAGGTAAAGTTAAAAGGCTTTATCTTAAAGAGACTATTGTCCTTGACATTTAGCATGGAAAGCAATTGAGGTCTTTCAACTGCTTATGACTCCATGAGTCGCTCTTGGCTAATTTATGTGAGAATGTTTATGTGCGCCTTTAATGCAAACTCTTACTTCAAAATAATTCAAACATTTCAAAACGTGTTTAAATAGTGATTATTACTAACTGGAGTAGACCACGTGAGGTTCGATTTTAATGGGTTATTTTCACGTGACAATAAAAGATTAGAAGTGACATTGCTTTTATTATTAGATTCTGCGATTATCATAAATTTTCTACTTTTACTTTTTTAATTAGTTCTGTTTTATTTTAATTTTATGTTACTCTATTTATTTTGAATAGAATTTTAACACACAATGTAACTTTAAACGGTCTCTTTACATAACGAAATTGAGCTGGTAAAAGCCGGTAGATTGAGAAAAAAATTTGGCACGCTTATGGCAATTCGCGCGGGTCGTTGCCTTTTAGTGAACAAGTGCACTTGTACACCACATCGAAAATTGGAGCTTTATTTTTAAATTGTCTCCCGAGACCGTTCTACTTTCCCTTTCGAGTGTGTGTGTACGTGCCTCCAAATACCATTGTCGGGCCGTTAAAATATTGAAGGCGAATTTCTATTTCGTACACACGTTCACCGCTTTTCAAAAGAAAAGAAAAGAACGTTCACACATATTCACCCACATTTAAAAGAAAATAATTAATGAAAAAAATTCCGCTCAAAGGAAACTGTTGATTCTTTTGATACATGAATTTAATTTTGCGCGACATTGACCTTCGTTAAAAAAAACGTTTTCTTTCTTTTATAGCAATTTCACTTAACTTATTTAATCCACGGTCTGTGAACCCATGAAATCGCTAATTTCGCTTTGCCGTTTCAGTTTTATTGGTGGAACAAATCCTCGGTACAAGTTTAATCGTTTAACTCCAGATGCAAAAGCATGGTTCAATGTTTTCCAGTATTGCTTAAACAGAAATTTCTCTTCTCATTTCGAACCTAGACGATTTAATAAACTCTGATTTCTCGACATTGAACATCAAATGGAAAGTTTTCTTTCTATTTACGAAATCCAATTATCATTTAATAAGTTATTAATAGAAAGAAACACATCGAACGGTGTATTATTAGTGATCAAATTTTTCTTTATAGAGACAATAAAATAGAAATGCTATAATTATTTGTTAATTATAAATTAAAATGAAATATGCGGAAAAATAATAATTCATCCGTTTCTTTCGCTTGGTTACCAGCAAAAAGTAATTAACAGTTGCATCGTATTCTTTTTAATAATAAACGATACGGTTGTTGACCATCACGTAACTTGTTACAAGTGGTCAGCTTGCGTAAGAATTACATGAAAATCACATTTTTTTATTAATTTAGAAGTTGTAATTTTTAAAATTTATTAGCTAATTGTTCTATAATAATTTTGAATTAAATGACGCCAATTAAAAGTTTAATTAATTCATTTAAAGGAAAGAAATTTAAGATTAAATTTGATTTTTATAAAAATTTGTATTTGTATTTAAGCGGTCTAAAATTATCACTCAGCCCTCTGTGTCCACTGCTGGGCATAGGACCATTTCTTCCTGTCCTGTGCTGCCTGAATCCAGTTATAAGCAAATCTCTTGATGTCATCCGTCCATCGAGTTGGTGGCCTGCCTCCACTCTGTTTGTCTTCATTTCAACAGCCTTTTCGTCCACCTTCATCTTTCTTTCGTGCTATGTGTTCAGCCCAGCTCCATTTGAGTCTGGCGATGCGAGAAATGTCGCAATGATCTTTCCATTTTACGCTGTGTTGTTATAAGCCTGTTGGCAGATGTTATGGTCAAGATCTGTGTTTCTGTCCCATAGCACATGCTCGGCAGGACGTACTGATGGAATACTTTTCTTTTTAGATATATTGGTAGGTTGCTCTTAAACACATCTCTGAGTTTACCATATGCTGCCCATGAAAGGATTATTGTGATTTTAGTTTCATGCCTAAGACAAGTGTACTTATGCACTGGTTCAATTTCCTTTCCTTCCATCACAATGTTTTCGCTCAGAACCAGCTTGGTCATAAATTTTGTTTTAGAGATATTGATTTTCAGACCAACCTATACACATACTTCCTTCAGCTCAAGCAACATCAGTTTGTTCGCAGTGTCATCCGCAAAACGTCAGCTTGTTAGCCTTCGACCCTCAATGTTTATTCCTTTATTCTCTCAGTCCAGCATCTTGAATGCATATTCCAGGGCTGTGATAAATAACTTAGGGTGTCACCCTGCCTTACCCCTCTGCCAATTGGGATATGTTCAGTCCCATCATGTAATTGTACCACCATAGTCGTTTTTCTGTAGATGTTGTAAAATATGTTGTGAATTTAAGAATGGTTTAAAATCGACCATTTTTAAAACATTAATATCTTCGTTCCTAATGTAGATAGAGTCATCGACTTAGGGTTAAATTAAAGGTCAATCTTTATAGAATATTTATGGTTAACTCTATTTCTTTCATATTTGTTGGACAAAAAATACGATATTTTTTAAATATAAGCAACCTAACACAATAAAAACATTCTCAAAATCGACCGTTTCTTTAAATATTAATATCTTCGTTCCTAATGAAGATAGAAAGATCAACTTAGGATTAAATTAAAGGTCAATCTTTATAGAATATTTATGGTGAACTCTATTTCTTTCATATTTACGGGACAAGAATACGATTTATTTTAAATATAAGCAACTCAACAGAATTAAAATATTGTCTAAATCGACCGTTTTTAAAACATTAATAGCTTCATTCCTAATGAAGATGGAGCGATCAACTTAGGCTGAAATTAAAGGTCAATCTTTATAGAATATTTATGGTGAATTCTATTTCTTTCATATTTGTTGGACAAAGAATACGATTTTTTTTAAATATAAGCAACTGAACACAAGTATGTTAAAACATTGTTAAAATCGACCGTTTTAAAAATATTAATATCTTCGTTCTTAATGAAGATGAAGCGATCAACTTAGGCTTAAATTAAAGGTCAATCTTTATAGAATATTTATGGTGAATTCTATTTCTTTTATATTTGTTAGTCAAAGAATACAATATTTTTTAAACATAAGCAACCCAACACAATAAAAACATTGTCTAAATCGAACGCTTTTAAAAGATTAATAGCTTCGTTCCTAATGAAGATGGAGCGATCAGCTTAGACCTAAATTAAAGGTCAATCTTTATAGAATATTTATGGTAATTCTCTTTCTTTCATATTTATTACACGAAGAATACGACGTTTTTAAAACATAAGCAATCCAACACAATTATGTTAAGACATTGTTAAAATCGACTGCTTTTAAAATGTTAATATCTTCGTTTCTAATGAAGATGGGGCAATCAACTTAAGCTTAAATTAAAGGTCTATCTTTATAGAATATTTATGGTAAATTCTATTTCTTTCATATTTGTTGGACAAAAAATACGAGTTTTTAAAGCATAAGTAACCCAAGTATGTTAAAACATTGTCAAAATTGACCGTTTTTAAAATATTAATATCTTCGTCGTTAATGAAGATGGAGAGATCAACTTAGGCTTAAATTAAAGGTCAATCTTTATAGAATATTTATGGTGAACTCTATTTCTTTCATATTTACTCGACAAGAATACGATTTTTTTAAATATAAGCAACCCAACACAAGTATGTTAAAACATTGTTAATATCGACTGTTTTTAAAATATTAATATCTTCGTTCCTAATGAAGATGGAACGATCAACTTAGGCTTAAATTAAAGGTCAATCTTTATAGAATATTTATGATGAACTCTATTTCCTTCATATTTACTAGACAAGAATACGATTTATTTTGAATATAAGCAACCCATCACAATTAAAACATTTCAAAATCGACCGTTTTTAAAATGTTAATATCTTCGTTTCTAATGAAGATGGAACGATCAACTTAGGCTTAAATTAAAGGTCAATCTTTATAGAATATTTATGGTGAATTCTATTTCTTTCATATTTACTGTCAAGGCTACGATATTTTTTAAATATAAGCAACCCAACTCAATTAAAACATTGTCAAAATGGATCGTTGAATCTAACTAAATGAATCTTATTAACATTATCTGTTCTGTTATCATTATTTGTTCAATATCATCACTCACTTTAACAAGCCTGTAATTTATGTAGTTGAGAATCTAAAGTGCTACGTTTCTCGCGACCAAATTGCTCCAGCACAAAGACACTTCCATCGTTATAAAGATATATTATGTACTCACTCAAGCCAAGTATATCATCAAAACTCTCATATTGAGGTTTTGGCGCAAGACAAGGTCTCCAAAATAACAGCAAGACAATAAACAGATTTAAAATGATCTCTGTGTAGAAAACGCTTGATTGAACAGAATATATTTGTAAAAGTTTAAAAGAAATAAATTTTTTTTATAGAAATATTAATAAGATATGATATTTAGTTCAGATTATTGAAGCGTATCGCCGGTGTGTTCATAAAACCAAAGTGAAGGTCACCATCTCAGCTGATTAGAATTTTCCAGCATGCAACACGCAAGAAGCTGGAAGTGTGGTAAACAGAAACCGCAGCAGGAGCAGAAGAAGGAGCGTGCAAACAAACCAGTTGACAATGCAATATGACATTTGCGTACCACTGTCCGCACCCTCAACTCTCCGTTTTACTACCAGCGACACCGAAGACTCTCAATCCATCCATTTCGTGCCGCGATCCAATCCGAACAGCTCCTACGCGAGTGGTGATCAAAATCTGTGCTTAGTCATTTTTATCTAACGAGAGATTTAACGCAAAGTTCACCGTAATTTAAATAAACCTGTTTTTATTTATTTCCTTTTACGGATTATTTATTTGCTGCGATTAGACACGTCGAGTGTCTTATTCATTTCGAGAATTTGGTTCTAAGAAATTCTTCTCTCAAGGTAGGTTATAAATGTAGTGATAAAAAGTGTAGTAGACGCAAAAACACGTGGACCGGTAATTACATAAAAGGGAAAGTTTTAATCGGATGTAACACAACTCGTTGTATCTAATGGTAATATGGGATAGAATCTAAAGTTTCAAACGAAAATAAACCAAGATTATAAGTTGAATTAAATCACAATAAACTTTTAAATTTAATTAAAACGATATTAGCCTATCAAGATTGTTTTTAATTAAAATTCTTCAGATAAAATTCCCTTTCAAATATTTCGCACGGTTTTATTGAAACAAACCACAGCAAATCGAGAATTTTATTAAGCTTTAGATAAAAACAAAATAAAAATTGTGATGAGACGATTACAGGGATTTAAAGTGCAACGGAAGAATCGTGTTGCTAATTTTATGTGTACTTGACTCAGCCCGTGACATTTCCAACTTTAACTCGGTTAATTAAAGGCTAATGTGTGCTTCATTCAGTTTCCCCACAGGAAACAATGTATGTAGGAGAAGAAAGAATTTCTTTTCGCGAGGAAAGCTTATTAAAGTTTTCTTTTTTTTACATTAACCTACATTCAAGATGTTTTATTGCATACCTTTCATTCGATTCTAGGTAAATATTTGGTTAGAATTAATTTTACTTGCTCTTTTTGATGGATTAGTCAATTTTTAATCAAAATTTTATTGCTGGAGTTAAGTCAAGGTCAATTAGAATCAATTTTAGTCACATTCATCTGCAAATTGTAATTAGGTCTACATTTTAGTTAATTTTAGTTTAATCACAGCCAATTTTCACAATTTTGATCGATACTACTATCTGTTCTGTAAAATCCGGCTGGTTGTTGCTCCAGACAGGACGACGCGCTTTTATTATACTTACATAAAGAAATAAAGGCGCGACGTCCAGTCTGGAACGCACACCAGCCGGATTAGACGGAACCCCGCATTTTGATTAAAAACACTTTAATTTTAACTTCCTTGTTTAGTCTACTAATAAATTTAAATCCAACCTTTCTCAACTATAAAGAAACCTTCGAATTAATAGTTAGGTAATAATAATAAAATAAATTTTCTTTAAAATAGGAAAACGAAAGAAATAGAAAGGCTTTTTCGAATTTTATGCTCTCTTCTTAGATAAGTTCGTAAAAGAGGTGAAAGGTAGATGACAGCGTACCAACACATTTGTCCTTAACATATTCTAAGAGATTGTCGATTGTGGTTTATACGGGGGCGAAAATTATGTATTAATCATCATTTTATTTCCCATTAAGCAATAAAAAAAAAATAATTAAAAATTGTATAAAAATTTCGGTTTTACCTCCATAAATTTTCTTTGTTCAAGAACTTATATTAAAACATTTAACCTTCTGATTTTAAATTGTGGAGGTTTGCAGACGGAAGGAATTGCAAATTTATCTCCTCGGGTATACTCCAAAATCGTCGTTGACACTCCTTTTTACGTGAAGTTGGAATGAAATAACATTTTGAAACGTTGAACTTTCCGCGTTGGGAGTATCTCTTATTCTTTTCTTTACGCGTCGCGACGATAAAGTTTAAAGAGTTGGGCGTAAATGCAACACGAACAGTTGTTGGGTTTGTTGTACTTTACGGAGAGAGTGAGTATAATAAAAATGGTGAACGACCTGAATGGCCAAGGTTGAGCTTTGAAAAAAAAATCGAACTAAATAGGAAAACTAACCACGCCTTGGTGCCGTGAGAAAACTGAATAAAACGTCGTCACCTCAGATCTATTTAATTCTCTTGTCGCCTATTTCTTTTGATTTTATGGACCGTAAAAGTTACGAGATTTGTTAAAAAAAAAACTTGTAACTTGTTACTTTTCGCATTTAAACTGTTTTATGGTCGGATACAACAAATAATACACAATTTTATTATTAAGGTTTAAATTAATTTGGTAAATGATTTTGAAACTCTTGTGTTAGTAAAACGGTTATTTCTTAACGGTTTCGTTGCTTTGTTTGTTAACAAACATACCTATTGCATTCGACCACAAATAGTTCATCTGCAAACTTATGCCAATGGGAAAAGTAAACGTTCAGTTTTCACTTTCCCGTGTATTTTCCAACGTTTAGATTTGCAAGCAAATTTACTGGGTAATTATTGGGTATTACATCAAAACGAACGAAAAGTCATCGTAATATTTAAAGCTATAATTTTTTCTAAGTTTCTTCTATGACGAGTTTCTACTAGATGTACTTTATTTTTTTGTTTCATTACTTATTTTATTTTAGGTAATACTCTTTTACTTCTAAAACTTTCAAATTTATTACCTAATTTAAAAAAAAAAGTTGACTGAGTAGCATAAGTTTATTGAAAAACTTATTCTATCATTCTTTCACCAATAATACTAGGGTAAGACGATATCGACGTATAGGATTTACAAGCCATACCGAAAGTTTTACCTGTACATCCAGTGGTTCACAGATTTCTATCTCTTAAGAATCACTACATCATGTTATCAGCTCAAACCTACTTAACTTAGAAGCCATTCTAAATGGCTATGGTAAAACCATAACATCAAACTTATTCGTAAACACCAAACCTACCTATCAAGAAGACTCTATTCCAAGACAAAAATGGTGCAAGTCTGGTGTAGATTTTATCGCTTCAATCCAATGGACTATTCTGCGTGAAGTGTTTTGAAGAGTAAAGCTTGTGTTGCTCCTAACGCCAGTGTGTGCTTCTCCAATTTGCTTTTGTAAAAACATGTGGGACAATAAGAAGAAATTTGAAGTGATATTCACTTTTATTTATTTTTATTTTGACCTTACTTCTAGTCTGGTATCTGAGACGCAGATGGTGATCAATTGTATCTTCACCATTCGTGTCTCTGCATAATGTGGTTTGAGGCTGGTATCTCCGTCTCTGTCTCTTTATGTATTGATAGGTATTTCTTGGGTAGTTGTTCTTAAATTCTGTTTCTATAGTTAGGAATTGTTGTCCCTCGTATTCTTTGTTGAACCTCGGTTTTATTTTCTTTTTTCTGCCACTCTCGAGACATTTTTGGCAGCAGTGATTGCAGCTGCTTTAATTCGATTACATTCTTCAATGGTGCTGTTTCTGTTCGACGTTGTTTCCAATACTTTATATACTTCTTTTGTCCACCTATCTCGAATTTCTGTGTTATTTAGATTATCCCGCCAAATCTGACGCCATATTTTTGCGAGGATGCTGACCATTCTTAAAACATCAATATTTTCGTTCCTAATGAAGATGGAGCGATCAACTTAGATTTAAATTAAAGGTCAATCTTTATAGAATATTTATGGTGAATTCTATTTCTTTCATATTTGTTGGACAAAGAATACAATTTATTTTAAATATAAGCAACCCAACACAATTAAAACATTGTCTAAATCGACCGTTTTTAAAACATTAATAGCTTCGTTCCTAATGAAGATGAAGAGATCAACTTAGGCTTAAATTAAAGGTCAATCTTTATAGAATATTTATGGTGAATTCTATTTCTTTCATATTTGTTGGACAAAGAATACGACTTTTTTAAAACATAAGCAACCCAAGTATGTTAAAACATTGTCAAAATTGACCGTTTTTAAAATATTAATATTTTCGTTCCTAATGAAGATGGAACGATCAACTTAGGCTTAAATTAAAGTTCAATCTTTATAGAATATTTATGGTGAATTCTATTTCTTTCATATTTACTGGACAAGAATACGATTTATTGTAAATATAAGCAATCCAACACTATTAAAACATTGTCTAAATCGACAGTTTTTAAAACATTAATAGCTTCGTTCCTAATGAAGATGGAGCGATCAACTTAGGCTTAGATTAAAGGTCTATCTTTATAGAATATTTATGGTGAATTCTATTTCTTTCATATTTACTGGACAAGAGTACGATTTTTTTTAAATATAAGCAACCCAACACAATTAAAACATTGTCAAAATTTATCGTTGAATCTAACTAAATGAATCTATTAACATTATCTGAATCTCAATATGTTCAATATCATCACTCACTTTAACAAGCCTGTAAGCCTGTTCCATCGTTAGAAAGATATATTATGTATCCACTTAAGCCAAATATATCATCAATATCATCAAAACTCTCATATTGAGGTTTAGGCGCAAGACGAAGTCTCCAAAATAACAGCAAGACAATAAACAGATTTAAAATGATCTCTGTCTCACTCATTCATTTTGCGTTCATCACGCCTATGGTTCCTCGTGATAAGATGGTGGATTTTAAATCGAGGTCATAAAACGAGATGCCGCCAACATCAGACGAATCGACTTTAGTGTCATTTTTGCTTATTTTGTGGCTATATTCAGTTTTTCTCCTTTTAGACTACCGTGTAATGGTCGTTTACTAATTCTGCATTCAAAACATGTCTATTTGGTTTATTTGTAGTTCCATCTGGATAGCTTTGTATATATTCTTATGTGGTAATTGTGTTGAAGTGACAACCATATTTCTGCTTTTAGCAAAATCTATTAGAATTCATTGTTTTCACTGGTTCTGTCAGAAGATGTCTGTTCATCTTCCTTTTCGATTATTGCATTCATGTCTCCAATGATTATTTTGATACCATTTTTAGGTGAAGAATCATACATTAATTGTGATTGTTGGTAGAATGTTTCTTTAATTTCTTATCTTTCTCTTCAGTTAGACAATGTACATCAATTATTAGTTTGAAAAACTTTGTGTCAAAACTATTTTGCTGTGTAGAATGCATATTTTTTCGCTTACTGGGTGCAATGCTAAAATGCTGGACTTGTTTTTGTTATCCAAAATGATTGCTACAACGTATTATATAAATGCTCCTATCTATTTTGTTTCCTGAACAGCAGTTATTGGCTTGTGTATACGTATTTCTTTTGTAGTTGAGTACTTAAATGACCATGGGCTGAGTATTTCTTGACTACAGGATCTACACTTTTTTGGATGTAGGCATCTATATTTTCTAATGGAGCGTGGTTCTAAACATTTCGTACATTGAGTGTTTACAGCACAT